ACATAACAAAAAAAAATGATACACACAGGAAAATGCAACCGGAAAGAAATCTCACAGACATCTTCACCAGGATTAAACCTATGTGGTTCAAGAGAAAAGTTGACAGAATCGCTCTATTGCATTAGGTTTCAAATGGAAATCCTGATAAGGTCGACCATTAAGTGATGAATGTAAAAGATAAAAAACACACCAGCAGAAATTAAAAAAGGAAAACTATTCACAGGGGGTTCACGAATGAGCAACATGATGACTTTCGTTGCTATCCCCTAAGCACCGATAAGGTTTCATTCAGGGCCTGTAGCCAGGCATGAAGAAGTTCGTTGGAATCCGCAGAGAGCAATACGCTGGAAATGAGAATGAACGTGAAGTAAATTGGTATTTTCAAGTGGGAGGAAACGTAAGTAGGCCTACTGAACAAATTACAAATAGGCATTGCAGACCTTACATGACAGGATGCCTAGAGAACTCCCACTTGAAGCCAATACCTGGCTTCATACTCAAGTTTTTCCCAAGCCTACGTTTGTGCTTGACGAACAGGTCTACAAACATGTCCTTCCTTTCCCACTACTTCCAAACCTAGCGAGCATCACTTTATTACCAAGCAATCAACCTTGAAAAATTATGATGACACATGTGAATTCGTAAGAATGACACTTACCGCTTCTTTTCCATCATTGAAGGAGTCGTAGAGACCAACATATCAATGCTGAATGAGTTTTCTCGAGGACACTGCTCTGGACTGCATGCCATAACCTCTTCGTTGGTGCACTTGCTCAAATCCATGAACGCCACCGGACGCTAAAAACAGCATTATAGTCAACAGAACACGACTATTAAGAGTTAGATATGAATGAAGCCAGCCGTCTTTTTGGGCATGAGAAGCCACAATTTCGGGGGAACAACATTTTCATCGCGGTGGAGGGGTATCGCCCTTTTGTTGGGATCACAAAATACACTCTACAGAAATGATTCTGTATAGTATGATCTCTGTCGGGAACAGCAATCTGATCCAGTGGCAAATTCATAATCAAGAGCAGCAGTAGTACTGTCCTGCATCCTAAAATATGCATAGAAGGCCTAATGCTACGATGCAGCTTAATTTGACTGATGAAATGTTTTCGGCTCTTTTCGTCACCTCACTTGAGGAGATCGAAGTTCAAGCTGGTGCTAGTATAATACACGTTGATAAATGAGCTATAACAGCAACATCGAAAAATTATGTACTTAAGACAAGCATTCCGATGGGAGCATGAGAACAAGGACACATGAAAGCAAAACCTAACCTTTTCCAGTGACTCGTCATCCGGATAGCGCCAGAAGTAGACCATACCACGGCGTAAAACAGCCCAGTAACGCTCCCATGACGCCATTCCACTCACCGTTTGATACATTGTCTGTTAAGTTGCAAGTTTATTTCACTGTACTAAGGATGCCAAGAATAACGTAGGCGTATTCGAAACATTGTGGGCATCTCAGAATACCGAACTTCTTATGAGAAGTCTAGCTAAACTGGAAACATCAAACGTTCAATTCTATTTCACATAATTGCCGTTGTATGTATTGGAGGAATTATTCATCTAG